TCACAAAGAGTTGTTTTACATAGACGACAGAGAGAGAGAGCGCGAGAGAGGGAGAGAGGGGAGGGTGTGATTATGGTTACACTGAGTCCCTATAGCCAAGGGGATCCACAGTCTCTTGTTTGATTACAGTCTGACTGTGAAACAAGGCGTATTAAAAGAATTATTACTCAGACATCACAATGGTCCCCCATCACTCCCTGACACACGCCTTTGAGGAGATTTATTTCACACAGGCCTGATTATTGTGTCTGAGGGAGTCTGTGTTGCTCTAATCTGCGCGCCAGTTTTTCCGAGTACGTTCGGCCTCTTCGGCGCGTTTTTTGACCGGCCGCCCCACCGAAATAGACATCAGCCTGCCCGGCACGCTTACGGTTAACGCTTGAAATTTGAGGCACGTACAGTACAGAAAGCTGCAAGGAGAAGAAAAACAGGCGGCAGTCTGGCAGCTGCTATGTCTATTCTCTATACTTTGGTGTCATTTTGTGTGTGTGTGGACGTATATGAATGCATACATGTGTTTATGTCCGTCCTTGTGTGAGCCCGCACCAATCGACGTACAGTCGGAGAGGAGGAGTATCGGCCGTAAATAACATAATCCAGCTATTAGGTTTTGTTCCCGAAGACATGGCTGTGTACTGTACACACCTCACAAGGACATGACTCATGGGAAATTATATGAATTTTCACTCAGCTTTCTTCATATTTACTGCTGATACACAAGCAATCACACAAGCGCGTTCCCCTTCCGCAGCGACCGACGCAGCGCAGAGTGAAAGACGCGTAATCCAATTTCCTTTGTGTATTATTGTTATTATTGGTAGATATCGAAATGCATCGCAAACGCATTATAAATCATCGCGCTGTTTCGTAGCGAAGAGCAGCCCCCCATTTCCATACGAACTCGGATGCAAGGCTGCATCCGGGGAGGATCCGGCGCCGCAGATATTTCAGCGGCATTAGCAGACGGAATTATTTACACGTGTTTTTTTTTTCAGCACCTTATTTCAATAAAGCTCGACGTCGAATTGCTTGAAAGCTGACGGGTTATTCGTTTGATTTTTGGCCAAACATGGAGGCTTTTTGATGGCAGAGTCGCTCGAGATGCCTTCGTCTTGTTACCCCTCTTCAATTAAGACGTGATTACCGTGGAGGGGCCAAAGTCTTTCACCTGAACACAAAGTGAGTCTCCAACAGAAACCCGAACAAAGACGCGGATCTCCTGAGCGGCTTCGTCTTCCAGATTATTCCAGGAGGGAGGATGAGCGAGATCTAGTAATTCTTTTAATTTTTTATTTTTTTTTTTTACTTTATGCGGCAAATTAGCTGAAACAAACGCTAAATATGTGTTCCCTCACCACTTCCCCGCTCCCCTGACAAGATAAACAGCACCTGATAATGTGTATGAAACATTACCCTGATGAACAAGCATGCGGTGCCTGCTGAAAGTGAAGCCATTAAACATAATATAAAAGACACACACACTGTCGGTTTTCATTTGTCACCCCGGCATGAATACCGAGTCCTGTGTAAAAGTCTCATCTGGGCTGCATGTGTGTGTGTGTGTGTGTCTGAGCAGCGTGGGTGTTGTACTGTGTTGTGTGTGTTGTGTGTGCATATGCTCTGACAACACTCGACGAGCCGCGCTCCTCTCCTGGATTCCCGTCTCATTGTCTATCATCAGTCCCGGACCTATAACCCCGCTCGTAATAACAGAACCGCCGAGATACATTCAAGTGCAACAACGTGTGGGTGTTGAATCATACAAAGAGGTTATGAATAAGTCTGTACCGACTATTGGCAGTGCTTTGGAGAACATCACTCCATGCACTCACACTCTGACAGCTAATTGAAGCCTCCCCTTGGGCTGAGTGCAGCCGAGACATAATAATCAAGGATCCTGTCCTGGTTTCGCTATACAGCCAGGACGTGGGATTTGCTTCTTCTTTGTCATAATCAAAGGAATATTGCAGAGGGAAGGTACGTTGGCACGGGTACGCCGAGGCCTGCCGCGGCAACAGATCGATGCTCATCCCTCGCAGCCTCCGCTTATGAACTTATCCACTCAGACATCTCTGTGAAGGAGTTGACTACCTTGAGGAGGAGTGTCCATTTTAATACTCATGTGTTAATTCCTCCCAGCTTTCATTGGATTAAATTAAACCAAGCTACGGCATAAAGGTAATAAGATTATTGTGTTGCTGGCAGGATTACGGGGCTGACACGCTTTGTACACAGGAATAGCAGTGGTCAGAGACGCCGCATTGTTTATGCACGGATCTCTCCGGGAGAAAGTGTAGCCTACATTCACATTAGCCTCTTTCTCACACAGGAAAGAGGATTAGTTTGCATCATAAACACGACACGAAAACCCCCCAACAGGATTATTTTAGCCCCCTTTTATGTAATATGTTCTCTTTATAATATTCCTCCTTAATGAAGCTTTTTATTCTGTGACACTCGGAGCAGCAGTTCTAGCAACGCTAGCACAGCTTTTTTCCATCCTCGTGCAGCGCCGACATTTTCAAATCCACCCCCCATTTTTTTTTTACTTTTTCCCAAAGCCATCCAGTTTGCTGTGGGGCATTCCCTCCTCGACAGAAAGCTCGAGGAGAGCCAAACCCATTAGTTGTGGCCTCGTATTAACTGAGTCTAACATCAATTATCTCTCGCCGCTGATAGCAGGTACCGACAGAATATGTGAAAAATACACTTCAAAGAGGCGGTGATTGTGCACGTTGTAAGTGGAGCGTTGAGCTCAGCGTCCCGGCGAGCCGTGACAAGCAGCCCCGGCTGAATGAGGGGTGTAGACAAGATACAGTTGTTAGTTGACATGCAGAAGGAATGTGCTTGGATTACAGCAGATGCCTCTTTGATTTATTGGTTGTAGTTGTGAGCTCTTTATCTTAAATCATGCTGCCGAACAGCGATTCATTTTCATTTTATTTCTGTCTGGATTCTAAACCCCCTCCACCCCACACCACCCACCCACGGAGACCGGCATCCCATCCTTATCATCTTTCATACTTTGGAAATGAGAAACCTCTGAAGGGCCCCCACAGTTTCTCGGGATTCTTCCTGGAAGTTTGCCAGACAAACCCTGACCCAGATGTTTAAGAAGAAACAATAATTCTGACACACACACGCCCGTCGGTTTGTCGAGCCGCGGCGCTACACGGCCAAGCGTGTAAACTTAACCAGAAAATTTGCAAAAGCCATTTCTTCGGCGACTATTACTTTCACCTCCGCGAGTCTTCTCGGGGAGTCATGGAAAACAAGGCTTATGGCAATAAAGGGGTATTGGTGCAGAACAAAGACAGGCATTTCTCCCAGCCGGCTAAATGCTAGTAGTGAAAGGGCGCTAAGCACAGGTTGTCTCTCAACCGCTGTGACAGGCCGAGCAGCCGAAAATTTCACCGTGTTGAGTAAAAGGATACAGGTGGGGGAGGAGGCCGAGGTGAAGCCAGCCAGCCAGATCTGCCTTCAGCTCAGTGTCAAAACAGCCAGTCAGCTGTGTACACCTTCATGTCACCTGCTCGTGTGTGTGTGTGTGTGTGTGTGTGTGTGTGTGTGTGTGTGTGTGTGTGCGCGCCGCCCGACAGGAGGCAGCACACAGTCATCTCCTCTGGTCAATAGAGCCTAATTCGCCACAGGTAGCAGCACAGCCTCAAAGGCCATTTCCCTTCAGCTCGACTGTGCCGAAGCCTCTCATCCACCACCGTGGGGCCCGTCGTGATAGTAGCAGAGGGTGGGTTGTGGGGGTTTGCTATCAGCCGGACCCATTATCCAATGGAGGCAATAGATCCGGAGGTGTTCCTGCCTGGGGTCTGGCTGCTTCTCCTCCAATTCGCCGGAAGACAGAAGCTGTCCTCTGCCGCTCCGGCTCGGCCCCATTGTTTCTGAATTTTTCCTGTCATCATCCTCGGTGCCTCTTGCCTGCGTTCCCCTCCGACCTGCCCTCTTCCCCCCTCGTCTGTGTTTCCACTGCTGCCGCCTCAACCACTGTGCTCGACTCGAGCAGTGTAACAGCACCTCTTCACATTCTCTGCATGCTCTACAGGCAGCCTAATGGAGGAAATCAAAGTGCTCAAATGCGATTAGATTCAGTATGCACATTGCATTCCAATCAGAGCTCCTTTGATGGATATAGCTTACCCTTTTAAATTCAACCAACAAATATCTATTTTTTTTTTTTTTTTTCCAGGAGCATGCTTTCTTTTTGCACTCGGTGGTTTGGAGCAGATTTATATCAAATAGTTAGTGTTTATCAACATTTCATCTATGAAACTCCCTCATGTACAACTTTTATGAAATGTAATTACAGTGTTACTCGCACTCCTGCAGTGTATCACATGAAAAATGTCCTCGTAGTTTTTCCTTAGTGGCTCATGTTAAATGTAAGAAGTGCACTATTTTCTCCTTTCCTGGGACTGAAACATATTGTTTTTGCCTGGGGCATTGCATGAGTTACTGCACACCTGCTTTATCAGAGTATGAGTTGTAGGGGGGGAAACAACTGTAAAATGAATGTTCTGGCACTGTGGCTACACATACAGGTTCTGTGTTGCTCTAGTGAAATTTAATCAGCCATGCCACAAAATCTCCCAGGCAAGAATGATTGCCAGGCAGGAGGATGTTACTGTAATTATTGTCTTGTTCGCTTCAGACTGAGTGCCTTGGATAAGCCATAGTCAACGGGAAAGCAAATACGCTTGTTGCACAAAGCACTTAGCAGCAATTTACACAACAGGGTACTTGGATGTATAAGCATTACAGTGTTGAACATGTTGAGAGAAAAAAAAAATTAGGAATGTTACTGAGGTTTTAGTTAGGACATCTGCCCGCCAGAAGGTCAAGCTTCAACTCTACATTATGCACTTTTTTTTATTCCTGTTTTCACAAGGTGTGGACGAGTGTGCGTCTCAGCGATGATCAAACTGGTTTCCCCTCCACAGAGCTCCACCCAAACATGACGCCTCTCTGCTCTCTCTCTCTCCACACAGCTCCGCCCCTGTCAGAAGTCACCACGTCGCCCCAGCCTCCCAGAACCACCACCACCACCACCACCACCACGGCGCACTGGGGCGTGGCCAACACCACCACCACAACAGGGTTCAGGGAGGGCAGCAGGGGAGCGCCCAAACCGCCGCCCGTAATCCCACAGACTACTTCCCCTCCGCCCCTGGAGTCCTTCCCTTTACCTGAGCGCTTCTGCAAGGCCACTGAGAAAAGAGACATAATGTGGCCTCAGACCCAGAGGGGCATGCTGGTGGAGCGGCCCTGTCCGAAGGGAACGCGAGGTAAACAGCCCACTCGTGATCAGCTCCTTGCATGCCTGGGTGTTGTCGTGCGTAAAGATTGAAAGTCGACGTTTTAAGGTAATCGACGTTGACAGCCGGCTGCGGCGGTGTTAAATTTTTAGCCGCGTCACTCTACGCGCAAACGTGATTAAGCGATCTGTGACGGCTGCGTCGCAGAGCAGCAGTTGTTTCCTGCATCCCTCATTTGATTGTGTGTGAAATTGCGTTAGTGCTCAGAGTTCATCAGACACGGGGGATAATTAGGACAGCTGTAGTAAAAAATAGACGTAAGCCGCATAAATAATTTTTTTTTTGCACAAATCGGTGACTCTGCATGTTTCTGTACATCCAAACAAATCAGGTTTTAACAGCGACATCAAAGAGGCTGTCGGTTGTGTGTAACGCCGACTCTCTTTATACGTTGGATGAATTATGACTCTGCATGTTTGTGTTTCTTGCGTGCACTTTCTTCTTTTTTCGTCTCTATTCCCCGTCCTTTGTTGTCCCGTAAACGACTTCATGGAACAATAAATCTGATTCGACTCGACTGAACTTGACTGTTCTCCTCTTGTTTTCCCCGTCAGGCACGGCGTCTTATTTATGCGTCCTCTCCACCGGGGACTGGCACCCGAAGGGCCCCGATCTCAGCAACTGTACCTCCCACTGGGTAAACCAAGTCGCCCAGAAGGTTTGTGTGAGCTCTGCCTGTTTTCCTCCTCGGCCCGAACGAGTTTCTTGAAAACACGCGAGCGGGTAGACAAAATAACGGCGTTCTTGTGAAGCAACTTAATCAGTGTCACAAAGATGGCAGCAAATCTGGGTCACATTAACTTGAAACGGCGTCTCTCAGCTGTAAAAGAGGACTCGTGTGTCCTGTGTGTTTTCAGAAGGCGACTAATGAGATTGCAGAGATTAGCATCTGTGGGGGGAAAAAAAAAAAACTGCAGGCGCATCAGTCAAAAGCACTGCAAAATTGCATGTCAAGGAAAAAGAAATGGCACAAACAGATATGCTGCACGAATGTAAGGAACACATGAATGGATTCAGCTCAGAAACAAGAAGCATTTTCTGTCTGATGTGTAGTAAAAAAAACCTGCAGCTTCTCCTGCATGAAGAAAACCCAAAACCCCCTTTTCATATCTGGCATTTCAAGGACTCGCTCAGGCGTAATTTGATGTTAGAAACTGCGAGGAACCCTCCGAATCTGTCTGCTTGTATCCTCGTGAACATTATTCATCTTCTTCCCCCCGCAGATCCGCAGCGGTGAAAATGCAGCTAACTTGGCCAACGAGTTAGCCAAGCACACCAAAGGGCCCATCTTCGCCGGGGACGTCAGCTCCTCGGTGCGCCTGATGGAGCAGCTGGTGGACATCCTGGATGCTCAGCTGCAGGAGCTGAGGCCCAGCGAGAAGGATTCTGCAGGACGGAGCTTCAACAAGGTAACCGCAGCAGAAACAGCACGACGTTCCGGCAAAGTAGAGCCTCGGTTCTCTGTTTCTGCATCACTTCGCAGTCGGAGTTTATTGTCTTAGAAGACGACTGCAGAATTTGATTTTGTTTCCCCACCGAAAATTAAATGGCTGGTCTGTTTTCTGTTTTAGGAAAAGCTGCGAGATGACAGATGAAATAAAAAAAGCAGCAAAAAAATGTTTGAAACTCTGACAAGTAGCAGACTCGCCGTGAAAGGAATTCAGTCAAACCTCTTCATGTTTTTCTAATTTGCTTATTGTCAGTTTTGCAGATTTGCGAGTTAATCAAACTCGAAAATGTCAGAATTCTTGAAAACACGAGTTCCTCTAACTTGAATTGAATGAATGAAAAGCTGAAAGTTCACTCAACTCATTAAATTAAGCTCGTACGAAACAGAGCAGCAGATTTCCCAGGATGCATTGTGCCAGTTTTGCTTTTTGTAATTTCAAAAAACAGACATGATGGAAACTCTCCATGTTAGATTGAATTCCGGTTCCTTCTTGTCATATTAATCAAAACCGACTCCGACAATGACAAAGGTTAGCGCTGAATTCAGTTCTTTCTCTTTAGATTCATCATTTATGTCCCTACAACCAGCAGCAGCCTCTTCTTTGTACTGACTCCGGTCAAAAGAGGCTTCAGCAACTCAAGCTGCAGGTTCCCAAAGTTAAATGATAAAGAAACTCCTTGAACTCCTGAAAGAAAAAGAAAGTCCGTCTGTAGCCGCCGCCGCCCGTCTACGTGACTCAACTTATTTTCTCAAGTTGAGGGCGATTCGGCTCGGCTAGTTTTTTAACAGCTCACGAGTCGACAAATTAATCAAGCCAAGCGCAGTTAATTCACATTTTTAAGGCAGCGGAGGGACTTAAGCCGGATGAACTTAAAAAGATTCACGGTGCATCTATATTCATGCATTTATAGATTTATTGTAATGGCCATAATACCTCTGTGATGCGTCAGCCAGGTGTGTGTGTGTGTGTGTGGGGGTGGAAAAAAAAAAAAGTAGTGTGTCATGACTTTATTCTTGGATTTGCGCAGGTTGAACACGGCGCTGCTGTGCATCATGGAAAAGAATGACAACTTTTATCTGTTCTGTTTTTTTCCTTTTCTTAATTTGAAAAAAAAAAAAAAAAAAAAAAAAAAGCTTCAAAAGCGAGAGAGGACATGCAGGGCATACATGAAGGTACTGAAGCTCGCTGCTGCCCCTCCCGTTCCTGCACTACTTGTATCTGCCCCCCGAGTTCAGCAGCATGCATCCTCTGCACTGTCATGTTCTCCCCTTCCTCCTCCTCCTCCCCCATGCTTCCTGCTTTTTTTTTTGTGAGTAATTGCTTTACACGCAGCCACAGTCGTACTCAAAGTGCTTTTCTAAGTCAAACAGAAGTCATCTGCAATTACTGGGGTGCCTTCTTCTTCTTCTTTTTTTTTCTCGTGGATGTGTTTCTGTGTTTTCCCCTCCTCCTCCTCCTCCTCCTCCTTCCCTTCTATGCATTGACAGCTATGGTGTATTCTGTTATTCGTTCTGTTTCTCTTCCCTATTGTGTGTTTATTGTGTTTACCCGAGATTGCACGCCTGGATGCATAACACCACAACCCGAGCAAACATCCTATTCTTACATCCCTCTCATTATTCATTTGATGGAGGATTTTCTGCTTTGTTGCGATTTTTTTTTCTGCTTTTTTTTTTGGGGTGAGAGCTCAATTAAATATCCGACACTCCTGAATACACTTGTGATTTATAAAAAACCTTTTTTTTTCTCTCTCTCTTCAAGGACCTGACCTTTCACTGCATGCAAAGTAGAGAAACGGTGGCTCTTTTGTTCCACAAGGACACAGGTTTTAGGTCATTTGTTTCATAAATTAAAGGTGAAGATGTGGAGCTCGATCTGGTTAATAGGGTTACTACAGGTCAAACTATATATATATTTTTTTTCCCCCCTTTTTTTACTCCAATGCTATCAAACTATTTTGGTCGTTACATCTATTCTGTGTCCTCCACCTGCCACCAAAGTCACCTCCTTCAATCCGCATCTCTCCTGCGGGAGGGTATTAAAACGGATCAAGCTTATTAGTCAGTCAATGGCCGTGCGCTCATAAAGAAAAAGCAGAAAAAAAAACCCAAACAGTACACGTGTGTGGTTGTTTTTAGCCCCACATCATCTTCACTTTTACTGTCACAACCTGCAGGATGGAGCTCTTCCACGGCGTTAGAGCGGCTGCATCGACGCGAATTACAACATTTATTCCCCCTAATGACAGCATGAGGGGACGGAGATGGCTGAGTCAGCAGTATCTGACAGCAGCCATACTTGACGCAACGCCGCCGCCCTCCTCCTCCTCCTCCTCCTCCCTTTCCGCCAGCCGTCGCCAGCATTGATTACCTGATTAGACGCATTGATTGGATTATTTCCCGAAGAAAACCCTGCATTGTCTGGATCCGTCGCCCCAATTTGTCCTCTTGTCTTTCCTTTTAGCTTTTAGGTGACAAAAAAAAAAAGGAGTGAACAGTTTTAACACACACACATCTCTTTTAGTGCCTTCTGCAGGGTGACGTAATGAGTTCCTGTACAGTGGAGTGTCAAAAGTTAAGGGAAAAGTTTCCACGATGAACTTTGCAATTAGAGAGTTTTAATTGCGATGCCAGCTTTCTGGTGGTTTGACTTTCATCAGGCCATCTCTTAATATCCTGTTATCGGACCGACCTGATGGGCTCGATACTCGGCGACCCCGAGTGTCTGCCTTGATGCGGCGTCCTTGAAAAAACAGAAACTGAATCCTCACCATCAATGATGCTGCTGCTGTTCATCTCTTCCCCCTCAGCAGTTCCTCCTCAGCCGGTCAATAGGGCTTTTTTAGAAAACGTCCTCTTCCTCAAAAAGCACTTTTTGTTTTTTTTCCCCCCTCATGTTCATTTTTTTAAATTCCTGCAGATGTGATGCTTCAGCGCAGCATTGCATTGGTTCATCTCAGTGTCTGCATGTCGCTGCTCATCCCTGCGCACAAACGCACCCTTTCCACATCTACTCAAGTGTCTGTTTGTGTGTTTGTGTTTTTTTTGTTGCTGCAGGCCATCGTGGACACGGTCGATAACCTCCTGCGACCGGAGGCCCTGAAGTCGTGGCAGGACATGAACAGCACGGAGCAAACCCACGCGGCCACCATGCTGCTGGACACGCTGGAGGAGGGAGCCTTCGTCCTCGCCGACAACCTCATGGAGCCGGCCATCGTCAAGGTTCCCGCGGATAACATAAGTAAGCAAAGCCAGGGCCCCCCCTATAGCTCACCTGGTAGAGCGGGCGGCCCATGAAAAGGGGCTGTAGTTCCCCGATGCAGCGGTCGTGAGTTCGAATCCCGCTCACGACCCTTTGCTGCAGGTCTGTCCCCATTCTTCTCCTCCCTCTACTGCACTAAATAAAGCCAAAAAAAATATATTTAAAAAAAGTAAGCAAAGCCAAAGCGAATGACAGGCGCTCATGACTGATGCGAGCTCCGTTAATTTGATTACTCTCAGTTCATTGAGAGAGCAGAACGAGGCCGCCTCGTAAAAAACAAAGCAAAAAAAAAAGAGAGGACTTTGTTTTCATAATAAGCGTTTAAACCTCCAGGGAACCGAAAAAACAACGCATATTAGGTTTAACGAGTCGCTTACTGACAAAGTGATGAATATCAGACAATTAAATAGACTGGATTCTCTGATTGCGCGCGCTTACTTTACAAATGTGCGCGTCTAGACCCCGTAACTCTATACATTAATGTGAACATTAGCCTGCTGTGGAGTCAGAAAAACGTGCTTGTTTATCCTCCTCCTCCTCCTCCAGCCGATAGACCCGATCGGGGGGAAGCTTTTTGTTCTCGCTGCTGTTTTATTCATATTAGTCCGAGTCTCAGCGGGACCAAACAATCACTTTGTAGCTCACTGTCACTGAGATTTACTGTTCACATGAGACGTCCGTGCGTCCTTTGGTCGACTCGCTGTGGAGGAATGTGAGGAACAAAGCCCTGCCGTCCTTATTCTCCCACTTTTGCGAGTCAAACAGCGTGTGATAGCCGATATTCTCTTTCTGTTTCATCCTTTCCCCTCCTCCACCCCCTCCTGCAGTCCTGGATGTGTACGTCCTCAGCACCGACGGTCAGGTCCAGGATTTCAAGTTTCCGCAATCCAGCAAAGGAGGCATCTCCATCCAGCTGTCGGCCAACACCGTCAAGCTCAACAGCCGGAACGGTGAGCTCAGAAACTGTTGAGAAACTTGGTAATTGTGGAAGTTTAAAGACAAACAAAGTGATTATTCAAACGTGAGAGACGCTGCTAGATGGGTCCTTGAAAAATCAATCAGTGCCTCCTCAGAATTAGTAGATTTCTTTATGTGCTGTAACTTATTGATATATTTAATGAAGCTATGCAGAGTTTTACCTTCATTCTATGAATGTTTTCGAATTTAAAGACTGTTTAAGCACACAAGGGTGTTTAATTTACATTATTTTTTCCAGCATTTTAAGATAGAAACATGAGAAGGAACCATAGCTAGAAGGTCAAAATGTTGGTAGAAATGAGCACCAATGAGAAGTTATGTTTGCTTTAACTTGTTCCCATCACACATGCTGACATGAGCCTTGAAGGTTTACCCAGAATGCACTTTTTAAAGTTTGCTGAAGTGTGTTTTCTATGAAAAAGTGCTCAAATTACCTGAAAATTGTTGAAACTTATACAAGAATTGTCTCAGATTTCTCAAAATGTGTTCAAAATTAGTCAGAAATTGTTCATAAAGACAGAAAATTGTCCAGAATCACTTGAAAAATATTCAAAATTCTTCAAAATTACATGAAAGTTGTCTAAAATTACCACAAAACTGATGCTCAAAGTTTGTAGTAGAAAAAAATGAACAGAAACCAGATCCAGTGTTCAGACTGTGACACCTGGATCTGATCTGGTGTCAGTTTCTACCAGAACTCAGATGTGTCCTTCCTCCTAAAATGTGTCTATAAAACTTTACAAGACTTCATTAAATCTACTAAAGCTGCTGTAGATAAACAATGAGCTGATTCTGAGGAGGTCAGGTTCTTTTTTTGTTTCAGATTTGTTTGATTTTATTGGAATAATCTCAAAAACTCCAACAGCTGTGATTTCAACCCAAAAACACGAAGCCGCTTGAACAGCTTGTTTCTCACTTTTCATCCGTGCAGGTAGTTTGTTGAATAATTGAAATTCAATCACACTGAAATGAATTTGGCTGTTAAATATTTTCCATCTTGTCTTCGTCTGAATATTTTGTCGCAGCAGCTTTTTCTTTTTTTCCTTCATCAGTTATTCTGGAAAGTTTTTAAAAGTTCCTCTGCGTCTTTTTAACTCTCCAGGCGTCGCCAAGCTGGTCTTTGTTCTCTACAAGAACCTGAGCCAGTTCCTCAGCACGGAGAACGCCACCATCAAGATGGCGAACGAGGCCTACAGCCGCAACGTGTCGGTGGCCGTCAACTCGGACATCATCGCCGCCTCTATCAACAAGGAGTCCAGCCGCGTGTTCATCAACGACCCGGTGATTTTCACCCTGGAGCACATCGACGTGAGTGGAGAGGTCATATTTTTAAAAAAAACTCCAGGAGGGAGCGTCCGGAGCAGACGAGAGATCCGCAATTTGAATTGTAAATGTCTGGCTGGGTCAGTCGGCAGTTTATTTAAGTCATTGAACATCAAATTAAAGGAGTCTTTAGAACCTAAGTGAATTCTTAATGAAAACTAATTCTTTAATCAACATTGGGATATAAATGATGCCCATTTTCTTTTATAGTGGGGGAAATTAACTCCTAGATTAGCCCCACAATCTAGGATGAAATTACTGGAGCGCCAATTATCTTTCGTCTTTTAAAGTTGTCACTGGAGTTCCCAGAGGGCCGCGCGCGACTCCATCCTTTATCAGAGAAATTGTGCAATTCCAAAGACATGCCGTCAAACAATTATGCTTCTCTGTTATTAAGGCCTCATATAGCCCGCCATGCTTCGCTTGATTTGGCAAGCATGTGCCAAATGAGATACAACATATGAATTGCTTCGCGAGAGCTGTGAAGTGAAAAATCCTCATCCATATCAGCGCGCAGAAATACTTTGTATGAGTAGGGGGTAAATGGCCTCTGTGTTCTACATGTGCTTCAATTTCAGGAAGTCAATTATTTGGACACTTAACCATATCTCTTGTTATCTGCAGATGGAGCACTACTTCAACTCCAATTGCTCCTTCTGGAATTACTCTGAGAGGAGCATGATGGGCTACTGGTCCACCCAAGGCTGCAAGCTCCTGGACTCCAATAAAACGCACACCACCTGCTCGTGCAGCCACCTCACCAACTTTGCCATCCTCATGGCGCATCGGGAAATCTCGGTGAGTCGTTTTCGTGTTTCTGTCTGTGGCGTTTGAAAACTTTCTCCTGCATCGCGATGAAACCCTGAACAGGAGACGTTAAACATGCTGCAGTTTTA